CATCTGTAGTATGTTCTTACTGTGTTTCGTGAGGATTTAAATACCTTTTACCTTTCAGAGTACTAAATAAGTCAGTCATCTAAGAATTTTTACTCTTGCTTCCTAAGGGAATGTATGCAATTGTCCATATTCTGTCTGCTCTTCAATCTGTCTAGTTCTGCACCCAAATAACTTTAATCCATAAACTTCCACCATCAGCTCTGAAGCAGAAACAGAAATCTGAAGGAACACTACATTCCTGTATGAAAAATGTGAACTTTGTCATGCCAGAGACCTTGCCTGAATTAAAGTTCTTGCTAAGACCAATGTAGGAAGATGGCAGTTGTTACCAAGCGTGACCAGGCAGCACTGGATCAATAGATCAGTAGTTCTAGGCCAGTTATAGCAGCCACTGGCCTGTGTGAGGAGTTGGAATTATTTCATAAATAAGGAAATAAAGGGGTAAAAGGATTCCTGTAGGAATCCAGACTTCATTTATTTTTCTACTCTCAAAACTGCTTGTTTTTGAAAGGGCAGTTGCTGTATGGATAAATAATCTCTTTGCATTTCCATCATCTGTCACTTTAGCTATCATGCAGCTATACTATTGCTGGAAATTAAACGTATTAAAACATTGGAACTCCAACTTCACACATTTCTAGGTGTGGAAACATGAAATAAGACTACGCAGAGTTCCCTGGGCAAGAATGTTGTATGCAAAAGCTGGAGAACCTTCTAATACATTACTAAAATAATAATATTATGCATAGTATTTGGTGGCCATGCAAGTTAGTAATTTACACTATGGCTGAGCATATCCTTTTTAAAATGCTGTTTTTCAATTTCTTTTAACTGTATTAACTGTACAGTGTTGTTCTTTCTAACTGAATTTTCCCTGAACTTAAAACCTTAAAGATTCCAAAGAAATACAGAATTGTTTCCTAGCTTGGCTAGTCACACCACAGACCATCAAAAGAGAGGCCCAATGGGAAGAGAGACTATTCATCTTTGCAGAGCCAGAGAAATTGCACCTTGGCAGTGATACAAGATTTTCTTTTTTACTCCCATTAACGTCTATGCAGACATTATAAATTATAGCCTTTCTTGTCCACTCCTCACCTTTCATTTCCTGAGCTTTCTTGTTTAGAAAAAAACTGGGCTTAGACTTTAAAAGATTTTTTTTTTTTTTTGGTGAAAATTCTGTTCATCCAAGAACTGCAGTAAATATCCAAAGAGTATCTCAGCAAAAAGAAATGCAATAACATAAACTGGTGGCTTTCCAGTTAGGTGAACTCTGTAGAGAGCATTGATTTTTATTTTTATTTGAATACAGTTACTAAGTTACTGAACTGAGTTGTCTTTCAGTTCAGAATCAGCCTATATTTTAACTTGTTTACTTATATGTAGCATAGTACGTCCTTGCATACACATACATTTGTAGGTAGCTTTCATCAACTGAACTAGGAAATTGCATTAAAGTACAATCTATGCAGTAGACTGCTTTTTCTGAGCAACTCAGTTAACTTTACAGCTCTCTTGAGAAATTAGTCATAGCTACTTTGTCTTCATTTGCTTTTAAATATAATCTATTTTGTTAGTTAAGCACTAGACATCAGACCATTTTATCTTCACTGGTACTAAAAAACACATCTGCCTGAATGCAAAAATACAATTCATAAAATGCTGTATTGCCTGGAAGTGCACACAGTGTTCTGTAGATCTTCTGTAGATCAAAAGAAGGGAGAGATCAGGCATGGTCGATCAGGCGTCCTTGAGTGACTAGAAGTGTGGGCTAGTACTTGGAATATTTAGAGATGCTTCTCAGTGGTCCCTTGGTGTTCCTTGCATTATTTTTTTTTATTCATATTTAGATCACATTTTGTAGACATTGAATTTAGGTATTGATTAAGCAGAAAACCTTGCTACAGTGTACAGTTAATGTATATATGTAAAGGGATCCAGGTGGCCAAGGAGATGTACTTGGATCTCCACTGCCTGTATAGAGAACTGCTGTATGACTCAGTGTTTCTATCTGGAAAATTGAGTGGGAGGTTTCTAGAGTTTATCAATATTACTGTTTGTTTTTTCCCTCCATACATTGTTTGTAAGGGAGTTCAACTGTGTTCATGCAGTACTGTCTTTAAGGTCATCCTATGCTTTTTATGCTGGTGAGTTACCATTGGAGGTTATACCTTTTTTGGTCTAGTCTCAGTCTTGTCCAACTTGACAGGAGCCAGAGCCCAAACCATGTTACTTAGGCTATTAAGGTACCCCTTAATTCTGTTATACAGGCTTTTGATTACAGCTTTTTCTGCACAGTTGATAAGAGCTTTCATCGCAAAATGAAGAGCGTTTCCCACCAGAAAAGCCACATCATCTTTTATTCACTGAAACAGATCTGCTGGGTGGGGAGGGAAATAGAGGAAAAGAATTGGGCTTGTAGGGTTATAGCCTAGAGACAAGGCAGAAGTCTACTCTGACTCAGGATTTCATTCCAATGAATGAAATGATGCAGAGCATGGAGTCTTCTGGGAGCAGGTGCCTGACAGAAGGACAGGAGGAATTTGTATACAATTACATGCTGATTAGAACACTAGATTAGGAAGTGGCAAGCTTGGTTAAGTTTCCCTTGGTCTGAAAAAATTTGAATTTGTTCTTTCCAGGATGATGCATACGAGAATTTACAGCAAACCTTGGATGGTGCTTATCTTCACCCCATGTGTTGAAACTGGACTGCTGTTCAGGAAAAAGTAAATCAAGATTTAGGAGAAGAGAATCTCAGAAGTATTTGTATTTTCCATTAAAAGTTTTATAGCCAATTGTGTTTCATTCAATAACTCTTATTGACAAAAACAGAAATACTTGTTCAAGCAGCACAGATAAAACAGCTGTTGGTCTGAGTTAGAAACCATTTAATCCTTTTCCTGGAAATTTTTTTCTGAGTCAATAGCTTAGTGACACATTTCTGAATGAACTCCATGCTAGCCACAGGAATTAACGATATGTTGAACACAGTTTCAATCTACATATTCACTTACATTCTTACGTGTTACATCTACACTAAGTATGGCAATAGGCTTTGAGCAGCCTAATTCAGGTGCTGGAAGCCAGCACAGAGCTTCATGTGGGCTGAATTATCCCATTGAGAATCTGAAAAGCCTAGTTAATTAGCTTCCTTGCCTGTCAGTCACTTGTTTCCATCTATTTTCTCACTTCAGCTGGTTCAGTCATAAAACTGTAATCTGTTTTTTTCTATGGCTGTGAAGATGATACTCATAATTTACTCCTCCATCTAGCTATCTCAGTATATTTTTTAATTTTGGTTGGTTGTATTCCTGAAGTTTTGCAGTAGTCAATTACTTTATGAATCTGGACAGTACGTTTAGCAAGTTCATGGGCAGCTTTTGAAGAGCTATCTGTACGTAGAGATTTGTAAGGCTGCACCTGGAGTACTCTGTCCAGTGATGCCCCCCAGAGAGAACTAGATATACTGGGAAGAGTCCAATGGAGGGCTACCAAGATGTTAAGGGACTGGAGCAACTAGCTCTCCTAGAAGGAGAGGCTGAGAGAGCTGGGATGGTTCAGCCTGGAGAAGAGGAGGCTTCAGGCAAAATATCAGTGTAGGTAAATACTTGAAGAGAGGGTATATAAAGGAGATGGAGCCAGGCTCTTTTCAGTGGTACCTATTGCCCAGACAAGAGCCAGTGGGCCCAAGCTGAAATATAAGAGGCTCCCTCTGAACATCTGGAAATGTTTTTTTTCTGTGCAGATGGCTGAGCACTGGCACAGGTTGCCCAGAGAGGTCATGGAGATCTCCAAAATCAGCTAGGCATGGTCCTGGGAAACCTACCCTAGCTGGGCCTGCTTGAGCGGGGAAGGGGGGAATTGGACCAGATTGACCTCCAGAGGTCCATGTCAACCTAAACCATTCTCTGATTCTGTGACACTTCATGGCAGCATTGATAATTGATTTTGATTAACATCAGTTTACACTTTGTGGCAAAAACCTTTCCACTGCATATCTGAGAATTTTCTATGCCCGGTGATCTTTATTTTCAGGCATTTGTTCTCATTTAACAATTTCATTTCAAAAACCAGCTGTGACTGTCAGTTTGTACACACTACCTTTCTGCTGTAATCTCTCACAAGTTCTTTGTTCACTAATCCATGTCTGCTGAGAGCACCATGACGTTACTGGCATCAAAGCAGAATCAAGCAGTGATGATTTAAAATGAAATATAAAACTGTTTTGAGTTCAAAAGCTGTTCTGCAGTCATCTCTTTTGCACCCAATTCAGAAGAAATGTTACATTTAAACTATTTTTATCCTGATTTTAAGCAAACTTATTTCTCACGTTCACGTACTGTCGTATACATCGAGCATCTGATACTGTAAGCTTGAAAGTAAATTTTATAGATTTAGCTTTGTGTTTTAGGCAAATGTGGTGTTTTGACAGTAGCTAAAAGCGTATTCTAGAGGAGAGATGTTACCTCTTGCAACGTAAATGTTGCTCAGCCTCAGCAATGTTGATGTTTATAGCTGACTGACAGGTGGTTGTGGGTCAGGGTGAGATAAAATGCAAATCTGGATGTTGACATTAGTGTCTTTTTACCCTTTAATCATATGTCACTGTAAAAGAAAATGTATTTCCAGAAGAAGTTGACAATCATGTGGCTTCTGGTGTTGTTTCTAGGAGCTGTAACTATCATTTTACAGCAGTAGATCATGCTCCCACCTAAATAATACTCAACAGTGGATGCAGAACATGAGCTGAATTTATTTTTTGGGAAGTGTATAACTCATAGAATAGGCAAATATTGTTCATTATTGTTCTTATTTCATCCTAAATGGAAATAGAATTGCTTTTCCACTGATTGTGAATGCTTTTTGAAAGGTGAGCCTTGGCTACGAGTCAAACAAAAGCAAAATATGTAATTGCTTCAGCAATCTTTCATTGCAGGTTAGGACTGTAATCTGTTAATTTAAATAAGTTCCTTGACACATTTTTTTTAACCCCCTAGATATTGGCAAATGTAATCATTTTCATCTGTGGAAACTTGGCAGGAGCATACCACAAACACCTCATGGAACTGGCACTGCAGCAGACGTATCAGGACACATGCAACTGCATCAAATCCCGTATCAAGTTGGAATTTGAGAAGCGGCAACAGGTAAAGTCACACTCATGTTTGGCTCTGTTTTGATGTTTTCACACTATCACCTCCCTATTTGTCACTGTATGATCATGTTTGTCAGTGCAGGAACACTTACTGAATTTAGTAAAAGTGATTTGATGAAATATACAAATCTTTTCTATGGGGTTTTGCACAATTTCCATCTGAATATAAGATGGCATTATGATTATTTGTGTCATCATATACATGTTTTCTTCTTATTCTTCTTTCTTTCTTCTTCTGTTTATTTTATGAAAGTATTTTATTAAAAGGGAAACGGAAATGCTATATAGATTGTTTTTGTTTTTTGTTGTTGTCCTCATTGGATGAGCTGTGTGATGTACTTGTATGCTTTGGGAATCATCAGTTCTTCATGCCCAAGGTTGGTACTGTAAAATCATTGCCAGAAGATATCACTGCACTGTTTTTGAAAAGTATTTGAAACTACAATACTGATGAATCATGTGATATAGTTCTAGGGGTCAGGTATGTTAAGAAGAGCTAGGGGAATTGCATAATGAGACTATCTGTCATTTATTGTAGCAGCTGAATAAAAGGCTTCTCTGATTGCTTTATATAGTTCTTTGTCTCTTTGCAACTTCTTTACTGTGCCTATCATCCTGACAGATAGGTGTTTCATTTAAGAGAATTTGAAATACAAATTAGTTCATCAAGTAGTAAAGAAGATAGGTGTATTTTGCTCTCAAGGTCACCAGACTGAAACTTCTATGAACTGTCAAGGGTCAGAGAATAGAGCCCACTGATAAATATATCAAATTAATTAAGGGATGTACACACTTCAGTGCATTGTAGGTCTGCATTTAGACATTTTTGTTGCTAATAACAGATGGATCAATGACTCATTAAACTGAAGTAAGCAAAGTATTCAATGAATGTTAATGATTTTTCTGACCTCTGATAAACAACTGGATCATCTGATCTTACGTAGATTTCTTCAGCCTTTATCCTCTCAACCCTATAACATGCATCTTCACCCATGCCACATTTTTTGCAGCTAAAAAGACAAGGGGAAGCATATCCTCGTGATAACACTTACAAATGCCAGATATTTAAATGTGAAAAGGTAAATGAGGATTAATTTGAGAAGAACTCTTCTCCAGGGTGATGTGCTTCTGTGTCTGCAAGCTTTAGCCCAGAAGTGGATGTGCTTCAGTCTGTCTTTTAATACTGTTTGTTTGCTAAGATGATCATCCCCATTGTTAGTATTCAGGTAGCAAGTCGATAATATTGATGACTATTTATAGAGGATAGAGATACATTGAAACACAAGGAGCAGGTGCATATTAAAAAACATTGGGTTTGATCAAAACCTTTATTAGCCTGTGAAAGGTTGTAGTCTAACCCTTGAAACCATATCTTTTTCACACACACACAAAATAATTCATCGAGAAGCACCACTTTTACAAAAGTGCAGAGCTACTTTTACACAAGTGCAGAGCGTAGGATGTGCTTCTAAATGCTTAGAGCTCTAGATCAAGTTTGCACTCATGGGTACAATTCATATTCCAAATTACTCCATTAATTTCCTCCTAATTTGTTTGAGAATAGAGCCATCCAGACATAGTTGGCTGTTGCTTTTCAATTGTTTTCTTTGTCTTTGAATAACTGAATAACCTTTCTGTGAACACCATTTTTATTATATTAGTAGATATGTATATTGAATTACCACTCAACAATTATTCTAAAGAACTCAATAGAAACACTGAATTCAGTGTTTTCAAGGGAGACTAACACCTTAACATATGGTGAAACAGGGGTGTGTGTATATATGCCCAGATACAAGTTAGAAGTGTTGTATCTACACTGCTGTGTATTTCTGTAAAGGCACAGCAAAGGCTGGCTGCTCCCAAAGGTGATGACATCTCCCAGCAGGATTGGGGTCTCCCTAGCTCTGTCACATAGTACAAGGTGAGCTGGGAAAAATTGGCTGCAAGGGTCAAGTGAGGGTCCAGAACATCAAGAAAGTTTGCGGTGATGATATCTGAGGCCAAGAAGGAAGGTCAGGGTCAGATCCAGCAATTGCTAGGCAGGTCTGAGGTGAAGCTGGCACGTCAACCAAGGACCAAGATATGTCGGGGTCCACAGCCAGGTGCTACAGCATAACTCAGGCAGGGCTGAAGACCCAGGGCTGAGCTGAAACGGGGCTTCTAGGACCATGGGCAGAGGTGGTGTCTGGAGGCCCAGGTGAGGCTGTTAAGGCCTATGAACGTGCTCAAGCCCTTCACAATTTCATATGATTTATAGCATAGATTTAATAATTAGGCTTGGTTTCAGTTTGCCTGGTATAATATGTGCTTGCTTACAAGTGTATATGTTTAGATGTTTGTGTATTATGAGCCATGACTGTTTTTTTGTATGTTTTTTTTTTTTCTTTTTTAATCCCATTAGTGTTGTAAGAATCTGTTTCAAACTCCTGTGGCAAAAGGAGTTATTTTGGATGCCTGCTTTGGTGTTTCTCACACAGCTTTTCTAACTTTAAAGTGTACATAAAAGGAATTGTGAAACTATTCTGACCTCTGTAGACTTGCAACCTTATGTCAAGATACATATTTAAAATAGCCTCTCATATCATTATTTGTCTCACTGATACAGCCTGGCTGACAGTTTGTAGGGGTAATGACTCACTAACACTGAGTACAAGATCTTGATGCTGACAAGTAGTTAACATAATTGCTCTTCTCTCTTTCTTCTGGTGCTTTGTGTTATAAGGCATAGGAATAGTCTAAGAAGTTCTTACAACAGAGCAGAGAGATGTTTGTAAGGTGTTGGTGTTCAGTGGGTTCTCTAAAATGTTATCTTTGAAAAGGAGGCAGTATAATGATGGTTTTGGAAACAACACTCAGGTAGCAGATGAAAATGAATGAGATTTTAAACCATTGAATGGCATTTTAATTTTTTCACTGAAACATGGTGAACCATTCATTACCAGCACTGCAATGCTTCCGAAATTGTTTTAAAATGAATCCAAAACAGAAAGACCTGATGCATTTTTGAGACTTGAGGCCATTAGTGAAAAACAGAAACATTTGAAATTTGGAGTTAATATTATAAAATGTGGATTCTTGTAAGTTCAATTAATGCATTTTTAAAATGTAAACTATTAATATTTTCAGGAACATAGCACAGTTTTTCTGAGGGCTTCCTGGCTTTCTTTCTTTAGAGAATGGCTTGGGTTGAAAGGGACTTTAAAGACCACCCAGTTCGAACCCCCTGCCATGGGCAGGACACATCCCACCAGACCAGGTTACCCAAAGCCCCATCCAACCTGGCCTTGAACACCTCCAGGGATGGGGCATCCACAGCTTCCCTGGGCATGCTAGATCTTCAAGACTCAACTGCACCAATTGTTAGGCCTCAACTATTGTGAGCAAAAGGGAGCACGCTGAGAATACAGAGCACAGAATATATTCTGAGTCTAATTAAAGTCGTAACAATCTAGTGAAAATATAATTATTATCAGTATTTCAGTTACAATAATTGTAACAGTTACAGTCCAAATTATCTAATTAACTCGGAAAAGTGTAAACAACTAAAACTGTTAGGAAGAAAACCTTCCAATGTCTTCCTTTTTTCTCTGCTGTTGTCCTCAGCCTTGAGTAGACATGCTGCCCAGCAATGCAGGATGGCTACTGCTAGTGTCAGGCCATGTGATTTGTACTGCGCCCGCAAGGCCTCAGGATGGATTGATAGATAAATAGTTACACACACAAACTGTTTCCCAGTTGCCCATAAACAAGATTTTGAGTGTTACACTTCATGTGCCCCTCAGGGTCCTGAGGTGAATGATACCGATGTTACTTGAGCAGAAAGCTGTGCAGGGGTGCCAGACCCTGCCCCGTGCCCTCCTGGAGCAAATCTGGCACAGGGGAGGCAGCAGGCCCCTGCCCACTGAGCCATGACTGTCTCTGCTAAAATCAGGCCAAGAAGTGCTCAGAGAAGTCTAAAGATGGTGTGTGAAATACAGGGCTTGTAACGTTGTGGTAAAAAGTGTGTTTTCTGGGCTACAGAGGCCTTGAGCTCTTCATCTATTACTGAACTTAGATCTGTTTGGATTAAGGTATGATCCGAAGGATCTATAGTCCTGAGGTCCCTTCCAACCTGCTCTGTCCATGAGCCTCTAGTTTTCTTAATGTTTTTCTGAATGTTGAAAAATGCATGAATGTTGTGATTTCAAATAGAGACAAATGATGTGTCTCCTTGCATCATATCGTATAATGGCAAATGAATGGTGTCTGTATAAAAAATCCTATTGGGTATTGACAAAATTCTTCCAGGTTTCTGACTCTTGCTTACTGAAGAGTAACACAAGAAATATGTATCCATTTTTATTCCAACTTGTTGATGAGAATAGTAGTAATTTTGCAAGAAGTGTATGTTTGTTGTCAAAAGTGAAGTGATTTGAAAATTGCATAGGGCATATCTGTACCCATTGCTACTTCATTAAGTTTATATTTCCCAGTCTCTGAAGAAGTATTATTCAGAATTGAAATGGATTAAATAAGCATGATGTTATTATGATTAGAAGAATGTTTTCTAATTATTTTTGAGTCTGCAATTAATTTTCCTCAAAGGTAAGGTTCAATATTTCAACAGAAAATCCAAAACTTGGTTTAAAAAAAGTATTTGAATAGATTCCTGGTCTTCAACTGGAGACTTAAAAGTACTTCTGACTCTACATTTCAGAATTGCTTCTTTACTGTTTTCATGCTAAGTCATTTCATGTGATCCATATTTTTAAATAGGAAATCAGTACACATTGATAAATTTAAATTAATGTACACACTGGTAGGTTTAAACTTAATGGTTTTGTGCATAAAATCTTTAGATACAGAATTTTTTAATGCAGACTGGCAAAAAGTGGGTCACTTGTTCAGGGTCCAAAATACAAATTTATGAACCTGCTTCGGGCACTGAATTTTGATGAGTCCATCTGTCTTAGTTTGTTTTGAGCTATGTCATGTTTTAGAAAGCACATT